AAAAAAAAAAATGACGTGCATCAAGGTTCTATTATGTTTAATGTATGTACCAAATTTGAACAAAATCCGTCCATGCATAACTGAGATCCGGGTCCGGAATGGTGAAAATGTGCGATTTTGATGCATTTTCGGCTTTAAAATGGCCGCTATTCGGCTATCGTTAATCGGATCATGAAAAAAATGCATGTGCATATGTCCCATATAATGTGTGATGTATTAGTAAAGTTTGAACTTAATCGGTCCATGCATGTTCGAGATACAGGTGATCACGGACGCACGCACGGACGCACACAGGGCAAAACATAAGTCCCCGTTTTCGGACTACGTCCGAACGGGGACTAAATATATATATAAAAGTAGGCACCAAGATTTTACAGGGAAATAATTTAGTGCTCAAAGGGTCAACTTTTTCACCACCAGTTTCCTCCTTTTATAAAAAAATTCACAAAATAGTCCTGTTTATTGTCTGCATTTTATTAGGACAAAAATAGCCCAAAGTTTTGAGTAAAAATTGAAAATTGATTCAAATTTTGTCAGTTGGCTCAAAAATTACCGGGGAAGGGTTCATTTCCAGAAATATTGAAGAATAGAAGAAAAAACTGCAGACAAATTTGGTTGAGAAAGTCTGGTGGTGAATCGGTTAAAGATACAGTTAAAAATACATATTTTAGATATACATGTAGTTGTATGATACTGCATGTTGATGACCAAAATTGTTGACAACTTATTTTAAATTAAAAATGTTCTTTTTGCAGCATACATGTAGAATAGCATTCCTCTGATGAGAAACTTTCAGTTCATGATAAACCTTTATTCAAATATAATCATCATATTGAAGTGGTGTGTATTGCAAATTTAGGGAATGGGATCTGTTATGCCCAAAAAATACACCTGTATCTGGTTTAAGCTTTGTTGTAACAAATGATGTGCTTATGTGAGTTTGTTTACTCAATGCATAATCTTAATTCTCTATTTAGTTGCTGTACAATGAACTCCCAGCATGCAATGTGGTAATAAACTCCCAGCATGCTCCGGGGTAAACATCCGATTGATCTTTATGTAGTGAACTGCGCATGTGCAGTACCTTGTGTCACATGCTCCATGTGTTTTCAGGAGCTGTGCAGTCTGTGAACGGGATTCTAATAAAGATGCATCCGTTTACCCTTTTTTATTATGTGTTTCCTAAAATCAGTAAAATACCTCAAACAGTTTCAATGTTCTTGCCAAGATACCAACTTCTTCTTTTAATGAGAACAAAACAGATACTTCCCCATCTCCATTTCTATCAGGCACATATATAGAATCAGCAGGCAACTGAAACAATAAACAAAAGAAGTAAATTATATCTAACTGAACACTGAGGGCAGTATTTATGACAATTGAGCACAGAAAAGTTACATGCACACTTATTAGAACATTGGCATGAAATATGTACCCAAGCTGAGGTTTTGTCAACTGGCCAATTTGCTGTTTTGTGGTTAGGGAATGTTTTGTAATGATGCCATCAAAGATAAAGTTGACAGTTCTGAGGATAACATGCGAAACAAGGTTATGTGAGGTCAAATTTTTCTTTTCATCAGACAAAACAAGACTTGTGTGTAAGGATGTTTACAGTAAAGTTTTCCAAATTTGGCCAACATTTTAAATAATAAATTCAGTTTCATTCAAATCTCATTGAATCTTGTGTGTTTTGAATCAAACAGAATAACCAAACACAAACTACTGTAAAATCTGTATTAGAAGCAGCGTCTTCTATTAAAATGGTACAATGCAACAGCGGGGATGCCGCTTCTATTAGAGCATCTACAAATATGAGAAATGATGAATTTTTGGTTCTCAATTGTACAAAAAGATTGGGTGCAACTTCTATTAGGTATGCGGCTTCTAATACAGATTTAACGGTAATAGCTTCCAGAACCTTGATATATCAATGAAAACATCAATTACACTTTGAAATTGGCACAATTTGATTTAAAAATCAAACAAGCAAGATCAAGATTAGATTTTTGCAGGTTATGCATGTACATTCCTTGTATTTTGTCTTACATATCCACTTCATTTTGCAGATAGAAAAATCCATTGCAGTATTGTGTGGGCTGTCAATGATCGAATATATAAAACACCCACTTCGTCAGTACTGTGGATCCAAGATTAACTGAAATCATGCAACTTCAATAAAATAAAACTTTACATACTTCATGATCAACCCTTTGAACGCCACTCTCAACTTTTCTCACTTTCAAAAAAATAAACTCGTTTAATTTTTTTCATATTTTCTCAACAATTTATATTGATGAAGATAGGGGAAATTTTTTGGGGGAAAATTCACTTATTACATAATGAATTTGAAACTAAGTGAATAATATATGCATATAAGATGGAGAAATAACTCACTGGAAGAGTAATTTGAGGTTATCATGAGGATACTGCAAAGTATGCACTAAGACGGGGAGTACAGCAGGAGTATTGACCGATGCACAAGATACATCATGGGAATGCAGAAACCCAAAATATTTGAACTGATTTAGTGAACTATTTTGTGTGCGGTCCGGTCAAACCCTGGAGGCTGCCAGGTTTTTTTTTTTTATTAGACGCTTCTCTCAACAATATGGTAAGATGCAAATATCCAGGGCAATACTGCAAAAATAGGGCACTCTGTAACATATAGTGTTACAGTGCCAGATACCAGTGCCAGTACCGCTTGTGTGATCCAAACTGGCAACCACTGCACCAAATGGCCTGCCTATGCCACCTCATTTATTCATATCGGTACATATCGTTTGTCAGCTGCTCACTTCTCCCTATTTCATCATTTCTCATTGTACCACGTTAGGAGTATTGTGATCACCATTCAGTATACTGTATACATTCATTTATTGTCAAAGCGGCTAAAAATAACTTTAATATTCAGTGCATTACATATACAGGTAGATTTTATAGTGATTACTAGAAATACCAACAGCATGTAGGGTGTATATACACCCTGTATAGATTTATAGGACGTACATGATCGCTTAACTCTGTTTTTTAAAAACCACATCGCACGTGAAACACACGACATTTTAGTTTGTCCATTTCTTGTTTACCGATCTTGAACATTTTGTCTGAAATGCGATACAGACAAAGAATAAACATTAGTGATACCTACTGTTGTCAATCAACAAGAGGCTTGAATCTGGAAGGCTCGGCTATTTTAAACGTTATTAAAATACATGGGCCGATATTACCATGTACTTAGTATTTCCACGCCAGCGATGCTCGCAACTGCTCGATTTAAAAACAGCTATTTGAAACAAAGACTCATGGAATCACAAAGGAAACTGTTCAGTACGTATTTCACACTTTTCCTATGACCGCTGTTGCAGTCGGTACATAGTGGCCACCCCAAATGATAAGCAGTCTGCGGCGATGACCGTTGTGAACCGCCCTTTCGATTTCCTACTCTCCCCTTAAATATCCCCAGCAAAAAATAAAATGTTAAGCGTCCATAACAAAATAAGACATGTCAGCGTCACTTCTCGTCTGACACGGGACAGCACAGCACAGCACGTCTGTTTGGGTTTGCGCTCAGACTAGTAATACAAGTCTGAGGTTTGCGAAAGGCTTCTTTCACTGAACACAAATCAAAGGTGTTATTGTCAAACTGAATTGATATATCCAAGAAACGAATGATTACCGAATTTGTACAAAAATCAAAGTACAATTTGTACGACTTTACGTAATTTACCGAAACAAATGCACACATTTTTGCCTACGACGTAAGAAAAAAATGATACTTTGTATGTCGTACTGCATCATTCCAAATAACCGTCTTGCAACGTGACTACTACATTTTTTTATATATTTGAATCTAGATCAAAATAACATAAATACGTAGTTTTATTTTTTATTAAAACTGTAAAAACGTTCGCGCAAATTCAAATACTGAAGTCTACAGACTAAGTCTTTTCGACCAGCTTTGTTGCACACGTGATCACGGAACACTATTGTTCTCCTAATTTGCATGCAAACTAAGCTATCAAAGTTAATGAGCTGCTTGCGTTAACGCAAAGCTAACCTGCGTTAACGAGGCATTGGCATGGTTCTAACGCGATCTTAACGTGGCGTTAACGTAAGTCAACGCATTAGGTAAGTAAGTTTTGAGCTGTACTGTATATTCATGATCTCAAATAATCATACAATCTGTATTAGAAGCCGCATCCCTTATAGAAGTCGCACTCATTCTTTTTGAATAATTGTAAACTAAAAAAACACAATTTCTCATATGTGTAATAAAAAACGCATTCCCTCTGTTGTATTGTACCATTTTAGTATAAACCACAACTTCTAATACAGATTTTACAGTACTTTCTGGGGCTGACTTGTAGTCGATGAGAAGTTTAACCTTTTCACCACCAGTTCCCTCTTTCCTTCAAAAGATTGGGACAAAAATAACCAAATTTTTTGAGCAAAAACTGAAAATTGTCTCAAATTTTGTTTGTTGGCTCCAAAATTAGGGTTCATTTCCAGAAATATTGAAGAATATCAGAAAAATTGTCAAAATATTTGGACAAAAAACTCTGGTGGTGAAAAGGTTACGTTACTGATTCATTCAAATATTAATGGGATGTTACCCAAGAATAACATTATTAGGCCAAAAAACAAACTTATGTTGGAAAATTGAAAAATTGGGTTGGTCAGTCGGAAAACTAAGGGCATCGTAAATAGCCGAGGTATATGGAGAGAAAAAAAAGCGACCCGATATTTCATATTTTTTGGTCGGTTGCTGAGGGCAACAAAACAATTTTTTTTTTTGGCCTGATAATTCACACTGGTACTTTCCTTCACATACATGTGTAGCCCTGGCAAACATGCACTGTATTTGCTCTATTAGTAATGCATACGGTTATGTAAATTACAATAAGTGTTTTTGTGGTCAGAAGATACTGTAAAACATGACATGTTGCTAATGACTTCATTATAAATTCAAAATGGCGGCCAAGCAACCTCTTTTTCTCCACACACACTTTGTAAACACAGAAAGTGTAATAATCCGGAGCGCTTCCTTATTACACTTGACAGTTTTTCTTTGTTTTTCTGGAGGTGATAACTGCACATTTGTTTTGGCAGGCGACAGACAAGTATTGTGAAAACGGGAAATCAATGAAGATGAGAGAGATTCGCTAAATCAACATTTCGCTATTACGTCATTTTACCACAATTCGCTAAAATAGTATGTCACTTTTTCAACATGTTTTACAGTATTTTAATGATTTAGTACAGTGTTCAGGAAAAAAAAAATTGTATGTGACCTCATTTCTTTCATTTTTACCCTTAATTTGTTTACAAAATGTTATTTTAATTTTACAAATCTCATAACTATACTAAACATTTTTCAAAATCACTATATCAACGATTTTTTGTTGCATCATGAAACACCAGTGAATTAACACAACTCGTTGCGTTACAGAAAATCTGTGCGAGTATATACACTTCATAGAAGTGTCAGATTACGCAAAACCAAGACATAATATTCAATATCCATGTACCAGTAAGTGACAGATAGTTCCACAATGTAAAACTAAGATTCTATGCATATACATGTATTTCAGACAAACCAAATTTATATCAAGGTATTGATAACATAATAAAACTGAAATCAGATAGGGATTCTAAAAAAAGCAGATTATATAGGTCAAAACATGAAATCGACGATTATCAACTAAACTGAATTATCTGGTTACCGGTACTTTTCAGCAGGTGATGCATTAACCTTTTCACCACCAGTTTCTTCTTTTCATCACAAAATAGTCCCATTTATAGTCTGCACTTTCCTTCCAGAAGATTGCGACAACAACTGAAAATTGACTCAAATTTTGTCTGTTGGCTCCAAAATTAGCATAGGGTTCGCTTCCAGAAATATTGAGGAATACATGAAAAAAGGGCAAAGAAGTATGTTGGTGAAACAGCACACTGCTTATGTACTGTTAAATTATTTATTTTTGCTGAAATCAATTTTTGCTTAAAAGATATTTTGGGTGTTTTGCATGGAGTTTACTGGTATTTTCACTGATTTTTGATGAGTTGAATGTAAAATATAGGACAAAGGTACATGTATATATATTTCCAAGCGAAAATAAAGTATAAGTAAGTGAAAATAAAGTATTAAAGGGGGGATTTGTCACCAGTGCATGTGACAGATGTCCATAGTGTGTGGTTGTTTACAAAATAAGCGTCGACCCATGAGCCTTTGCATTTTTAGCTTGTGTTGTTATCGAACCTTAGAACCCGATTCCCATGTGTGCACAGGTGACCTCTCTGCTTTAAAAGACATG